AGCGCGTGGCCGCAGGCCCCCCGCCGAGGGACCCTGCCGCTGCCACCCGGCCAGCACCCCTCGCTCCTCCCCAGGCCCAGAGCCCCCGGAGCGGGGCGATGCCCCTGCGCCACCGCAGACCCGGGCACGCAGCCCCTGCCCAAAGCAGGGGCGCTGGCCCCAGAGCCGCTTGCTCCCTCCCTGCCAGCTGGGGAGCTCCCTGCAGTCTCTCCGCAGGGATGCAGTGGGGCAGGGCCAGCTCCTCTTCCTCTCTCATCTGACGCCCGCCCGGGGCAGAGCTCAGAGAGCTCCGGCTCATCCCGCTCCCTAGCCAGGCTGCCGCGCCGAACGCCCGCGTCTGCTACGCAACCTGGCTCAAAGTACGCGCATTCCTGGGAAACTATTGCATGGGTGTTCCTCTTGATGCTTTTCCCTGTTAGAAAAAGCCTGCGCTGAACTTAGGACTTCTGGCATACCAAACCTGCAGGAGCTGAGAACTCATTTCCAGCAGAAAGGGTAATAGCCCACCACGCAGAGCAGGTCTGGGGCTGCACGGCGCGCTCTGGCACAGGGCACATTCAAGTGCTAATCCCCGAGGAATGCACACCTTGTTCAATATGCCTTTAATAACCTTCCGGGGAAGTCACACACACCAGCAAAGATGTCAAAACCAGTTAATTCTGGGTTTGATCTGAGAAAGCGAGTATTTTTCCCTGAGATACTTTTTTTTTTAAATGAAGTTCTATTTACCTATGATTGTCTGACTCAGTCTTAATGTACTTAGGACACAGCTTTTCAAGTAGCTCTGCATTTTTTAAGCTCGCTGCTTGGCCCTAGCTAGACAAAGACTGGCTTTGGGTTTTTACACCTGGACTTGACAAGAGCAGCCTAACTTTGCTGAAAAGAAACCCAGTAGTACGAGCAATCTGGGGAAAGGTTTGCTCCTTCGTGACTGCAAGCAGAATAGGGGTCCCTGCTACGTGCCATTCCTGCAAGCACACAGGAGCACGGGAACACCAGGGTTAAGTTAGGAACCCCGCCGAGTTCACCAGAGAACAGGCACCGCCACTTCTGCCTCAGCCCCAGCCCCCAGCCCAGCACCATCTGGTTCTCTGCTCGCAGCCTGCAGCATCGCTGCTTCTGCGCCGGGGGCCCTCGTCCTGCGCGGCGTTTC